ACTGAGATCATGCCACTGCACCCCAGCCTGAGCAACAGAGCAAGACTGTCTCAAAGAAAAAAAAAAAAGTTTTTTTAAAAACCAATGAAAAATAACAAAACATAATATAAATACAAATACCTATTTACATAGCATTTACATTGTGTTAGATGTAAGTAATGATCATTTAAAGTATACAAAAGGATATGTTTAAGTTACAACCAAATGCTACATCATTTTATATCAGGGACTTGAGCATCCGCAGATTTTGATATCTGCAGAGGATGGGGCTGCTAGGGTTGGGGGGTCCTGGAACCAAAACCCCACGGATACTAAGGGACGACTATACGCATCTCCTACTGGTTCTGTTTGTGGTAGAACCTTGACTGACACAATCAGCCATGCCCTGGATGTTTCTTGGGTATTCTCTGATCCCTGGGGGGAAAAGTCTCCTGAATTCTTCCCTGGGAGTCAGGCTTCCACATGCCTGCCTGCCTGCCTTCCTTTCTTTTCTTCCTCCTGGAGGGCTTCTACCTCAGAAATCTGGAAGGCCTCTATCTCTGAAGGGCACCATTTTCCTTCATCTGTCTAGCTCGTCATGCATTTGCTACATATTAACAACTGTGATGAAGCCTAGTTTCTCCAACGATAGCTCTATTGCTAGCCTTATTCTTTTAGTCACAGGGAGCTATCTTTGTCCAATTCCAGTTTACCATATTTCCTCCCCTTTCTCCTTTTCAAGTCCCACTTTCTCTTCACTACCTGTTAGACAGACTGAGAGCTGTCTCCCAATACCCATTCTCCCCTTGTTTCATGGCAGTAGCCAGTCCGTGACTTTACAGGATAAAGACTAGATTTTTCAAACTCCTCTTCAGGTAAGTGGGACTAGGTTACAGCCAAAGGAACAGAATCGATGCAATGTGTCCAACTTCCAAGTTGTGCATTAACAGAAAGGTAGTCCCACCTCTCCCTTTTTTTTCACCTTCCAAATGGCCAAAATATAGACACGACGATGGGCCATACTGGATTTTGTGGGCCACAGCACCACCCAAAAGGGAGTAGAGAAATAAGAGAAAGCTTCATACCTATACTGCTACCTGGACTTCCATCTAGTTTATGATACTGATTTTTTTTTTTAATCTCTGCAGCAACAGTCAAAATTTTTTTTTTCTTTTTTTCTTTTTTTGAGATGGAGTCTTGCACTGTCACCCAGGCTGGAGTGCAGTGGCGCAACCTGAGCTCACTGCAACCTCGGTCTCCCAGGTTCAAGCAATTCTCCTGCCTCAGCCTCCTGAGTAGCTGGGATTACAGATGTGTGCCACCACACCTGGCTAATTTTTGGTCTCCAACTCTGATCTCATTATCTGCCCGCCTCAGCCTCCCAAAATGCTGGGGTTACAGGCATGAGCCACCATGCCTGGCCAACAGCCAAATTTATATCCTAACCAACACACCACCAAACTGGCCAAAAGAATAACCAGCTCCCCCAACCCACTGTCTTCCCCAACCTAATTATTATATCAGATTGTCTTGTTACCTGGCTGTTCCTCCTCCTTCCCACCCTTAAATATGGTTGACCCCCTCTCCCACCGTGTCTTTCCTTGAATCTGGTCTCTCTATGCTTTCTCCCTTGGAAATCTCATCTACTCTCATGGAAAATGACTTAACATGCTTCTAATTCTAACTCATCTCTGAGCACCGGGTCTGCTTATTGGACTTCTGATTGATCAATTGCTGGTACCTCAAACTCTGCATGTTTAAAATAGAACTCACTTTCCTCTCTCTCTCACACACACACAAACACACACACTCACCATGGGGGTGAGTAGGCAACCTGTTCTCTTCTTGATTTCCTTATTTAGGTAAATGAAATAAAAGATGCCACCATCCTGCCAAGAACCCAGGCTTAAAACTACAGCAGAGGCCACAAATTCAAATGCTTAGAGACCAGGCAAGAGGCAAGGGACAAGTGGTAACTGTGGGGAGAGAAAGAGCTGCTGACCAGTCTTAAAAAAGTAGCCACAACTTGCTGATCTCTGGCATGTAGGAATATTAGCCCAGTGTTGTTGGGTCTTCTGATCTTTCAAGAGAAGTAAAAAATCTAGATTTTATGTTTTATGTGATCTCTCTAGATTTTACAAACAAAATAAGAAGCCATCTTGAACTGGTCAAAATGTAAACCAAAGATTTAAAAACATATATATTTCTAAATAAATAACATATATCATAACATGACAATGTAACTTGTAGCAAAAATAATTTGACAGATCTAATATGTCTAAATCATTTCTTGATTTTTGGAAGTTATGAATCTTTTGATGCAGTTGTCACTAGATTTTGACCCCGTATGGGGTAATGATTTGACATAGGAAGCAACATGCAATTGTTCCAACAACTTCCTCATTAAATGGATAATCATTAAATGAATTAAGTAGAGAATTTCCTTAACATCAATGATACTGTTTTTAGTGTGGAATCCTCAGTTTCTTATCAATAGCAATTAAACATTCTATAGACTTTACAATATAGTCTAAGAACATATAGAACTGATTCAATATCTCTGCTATTGACCACCTCACAAAAATCACTTATTGAAATATCTTTTAACTTACTGGCTTATTCACTATGTTCTGTTCACTCTCAATTCATGGAGCTTCACAAACCAGGAGGCTTTATGTCAAGATTTAACAAATTGAAAGGGCTTAAAAGTTTATTACAGGTTTCACTGTTGTCATCAAATACATTGATTTATTAGAAAATCCAATAATTTTTCTCTTGGAATTGATACTTCACTTTTTTTTTAAACAGGATACCTATTTTTTCTTATCCATAATAACTTCCACTTGTTTCAAACTTCCCTTTGTTTACATATGTCCAACTGCTTTACAGTTTATTGAAATAATGTCAGCTCTAATAGCTAAAACATGTTTTCTTATAAAGCTAAAATAAATACTGCTAGGCACGGTGGCGCAAACCTATAATCCCAGCACTTTGGGAGGCTGAGGTGGGCAGATCACTTGAGGTCAGAGGTTTGAGATCAGCCCGGCCAACATGGTGAAACTCCATTTCTACTAAAAATACAAAAATTAGCCAGGTGTGGTGGCGCATGCCTGTAATTCCAGCTACTCGGGAGGCTGAGGTAGGAGAATCACTTCAACTTGGGAGATGGAGGCTGCAGTGAGCTGAGATTGCGCCACTGCACTCCAGTCTGGGCAACAGAGCGAGACTTCAGCTCAAAACAAAAAAACTCTAAAATAAATACTGATGTCTCCATTAAACTATCATTCATTAAGGCCCAAACGCATTTGTGTCCACTACAGTGAACATACAGAACTGACTGACTTCCACCACAAGGGGTATAGCTCAGGGGTGGAGCGTTTGAATGCAGAACTTACTGACTTCCACATTGCTTTTGCAGATCTAGCACTGCAGGCTTGTCCGTCAAGGTTCAATTTGCATTACTTAATTTAGTTATTTCTGCTATTTATTTGGTGTGTGGTAGTAAATATAGTTTATCAAGAAAAACATGAGTTCTCTTATTGACTTATCCAAAATTGAATTTGATAACTTAGTGCCAAATTAAAACATCCACATTGTTTTTAAACTTTTGGCTGAAACTCCGTACTCTCTCTAGAATTGTATTAGCACTTTCTGTATAAAATCCAATGACAATCTTCTTATTTGGTACAATGTTACATCTTTATGGAACTATATCTCAAATATAATTCTTTCTTGTCCACTCACAATAAAGACAATACAGTGTACTAAATGTTTCCCAGTGTCATAAGATCAACAAAAACCATCATATTCAAAAACCTTTAAATTTGCATTTTAATTATTAAAACATACATAAAAAAATGAAGCTTCTTAAATGATGACTTTAAATATACCTCTGATTTACATATTTTTCAAAAAGCTGTTTTCTCACTTGGGTACATCCGGTGTTTAACAGGTGTGTCCACAAGAGAATGGCGTGTTCATATCAATATTAATCCCTTTGAAATTCTAGGAAATGTGTGTGAAATGCTCAATTACGCTTAACTATACAGTGGTGCTAAAAATTCTGACAGTAGCTTCCAAATCTTTTTCTCTTTTTTTTTTTTTTTCTTTGAGACAGAGTCTCACTCTGTTGCCCAGGCTGGAGTGCAGTGATGAGATCTCGGTTTACTGCAACCTCCACCCCCACGGGTTCTAGCCATTCTCATGTCTCAGCCTCCTGAGTAGTTGGGATTACTATAGATTTTATGTAATAAAGTTTATCTTATAAATAATAAATTTTATTTTGTGCTGATTCTTAAACAGTATCAAAAGAAGTTCCAGGCTGGGATTCATTATTATTATAAATTTCTTGTTCGTTCTTCTGCAGATATCAAGATTTACATTTATCATACTTAAAAGTATTGAAAACTCATCCAGATTTTTGTTTCTCATTCTAGGTGGATGTTTCTGATATTCCATAATAAAATCTTAAATATATAAATATAAAATACTGCATACCTATTTTCTGAAGAATTAATGTATGTGCTTACGATAGAAGTATTTTATTATTTTTTGAGACAGGGTCTCACTCTGCCGTCACCCAGGCTGAAGTGCAGTGGCAAGATCTCAGCTCACTGCAGCCTCGACCTCCCAGACTCAAGGGATCTTCCCACCTCAGCCTCTCCAGTAGCTGGGACTACAGGCATGCACCACCATGCCTGGCTAATTTTTTTTGTATTTTTTTGTAGAGACAGGGTTTTGCCATGTTGCCCAGGCTGGTCTTGAACTCCTGGGCTCAAGTGATCCTCTTACCTCAGCCTCCCAAAGTGTGGGACTACTGGTGTGAGCCACTGCACCCAGTCCAATAAAAGTATTTTAAACTAGTGACTCTCCTAAAGCAGTTAGTGTTTTAACACATGTAACTCGGCTGCAGTCCCTGCAGTGACACAGGCCAGATTGTGTCATAATGTGGAAACAACAGGAGGCCTATTGTCAATGGTAATGACATCCTACAACTATTAACACAAACCAATGAGTTTATATTAAAATTTCTATTAATTGTAACATTTATTGTAATTACCATGATACTATTTACCCTCGAAATATTTCAACATTGTAACCATCAACATGGTGCAGGATACATAATGGCTAAATATCGAATCTAGTCTATATGCCGAACTTAGTCCAGGGGCTGCCAGTTTTAGCTTCAGGCCAAAACTCCAGAAGAGATCATCAGTGGGTCCCGGAAGTGAAGATGGGTTGCATTTCAGACTCTGAATAAACAGTCAATGTCTTCTTTCTCCCCTTTTGGGTGGGGGATGGATATCAAGTGATGTCACACCTAGACCACTTCACTGAAGTTACCAGCCTGTTTCCAGTAGTCCTTTGATTTTTCCACCAGTGGGTTTGTATTCCAAAAAAGAGTTCCTGTCCTGTCCAACTTTCTGAGCCAAGGATTTACAAAACCTGGTTATCTGCTAGAAATGGGAGAGAATGGAAGAATCCAAATAGTTGACACCTAAATTAAAAGCAAAAAAGCATCTTGCCACATACGTACCTCCAACTCTACCTGTCCTGGTCAAGGTTTAGCTCCATGAAACCTTGCCTGATCCCACAAGGCATGCCCACCTTCTCCCCGCTAAACGCTCACAGCATGAAGTCTATTTCTCTTAGATGACATCATACCTACTGACTACAGATGCCTGAAAGTAAATTCCAACCCCCAGCCCCAGCATCCCTTGACCTACCCCTTATCCCCCTTTCCCACTCATCTTGGCAATCACACCGCCATGCCTTGTCCACAACAGTCTCCTCAACCTGGAACACCCTTTTCCCTCATTCCTTCTCGCCAGAATCCATCAAGGCTCGGCACAAAGGTACTCTCCGAGGAGGCCTTCCTGAATTCTTCCGTGAGGCAGACTGCTTCCCGAGCTGCCCCGGCCCTTCTCGGGCCAAGTCTCTCCAGAAACTCATCCCATTGTTCTCAGATGGAAGGGATCCCACACCCACGACAGGCCTCCGGGTTTGCTTAATGACTCAACCAGCGAGGGTGCTCGGTAAGCCCCACCAGCACGCGCCCTACTCAGCTGGTAATGATTGAGACCTACGAGGTGACGGGCGCCGCGGTCGACGCTGGGACAAGGTCCCTGCTCCAGGTAGCTTACGTTCTATTCACTAACGTCAAAGAGCAGTGAGTGCTGTTACGCGTATGGGAGCCACCAGGGTCTCCGCCTGCCCTCAGGGCCACGGGCGCACTCCACGATTCGCGCCTGCCTGTTTCTTCGTGGGACCGCACCGTCCCCGTCTCCAGAGACGCGACACACTCTCGCCACGCGCTCTCGCGTTACCAAGTCTGCGAAGCCGCACACCGCCAGTCCCGGCGTCCCCCGCGCGCCACGCTCCTTTCCGACAGGCCCCAGGAGCCCCGCTGCATGCCGGGGCTTGTGGTCTCGGCGTAAGCGGCGCAGCGCGGCTAGGCGCTGCGGCCGGCGGACGCGCGTGGCAGGAAGCGGAAGCGACCCGAGGCCCGGCCCCGGCCCCGGCCCCGGCCCCGCCCCGCGCCTCCCCGTGCCGCTCGCCGCCGGGCTAGAACTGACGTGTCTCTCGGCGGAGGTGCTGTGCGGTGGAACAGACTGGGCCGCGGGCAGCGTCGCGTCGCGCGGAGCAGAGCTGAGCCGAAGCGGGACCCGGAGCCTGAGCAGCCGCCGCCATGGCAAGTGAGTCCTGCAGGGACAGCTCTACCGAGGCCGGGACGGATCAGATTCCCCTTCCCCTCACCCGTGCGGTCGAGAGCTCGCCGGCCAGCCCTGCCCGGCCCCCTGCAGAACGCGGCCTGTGTCCCCGACCCTTCTCGAGTATCCCCCACGAGTCCCGGGTGCGGCCGGCTCCCCTGGCCACTGCTCTCACTCGTCCTGGGCAGAAGGCTTCCCTGGGTAGCGCGGACGGTTACTTCTCTGTGTTCTAACTCTTCCTGTTTTGTTTATTTCATCAAAGTCAAATTTCTGGAAGTCATCAAACCCTTCTGTGTCATCCTGCCGGAAATTCAGAAGCCGGAGAGGAAGGTAAGTACCCCATATTGCCAACAAAGAAGGTTTCAGGAAACTGTCTGGACTCTGAAAGTTAACAGTATGATTAAAAATGGCTTCAGCACGGCAATGGAAACTCTCCCTTCTCTTGTCTTGGAGTGTAGTCTGCTCTGTTATTCCGGAGAGCTGTCGAAAGGTGACCTGGTTGTGTGGAAATTTCCACCGAAGTCATCGTGCTGTATTTGGAGCATCTTTGGTGGAAGTTGCTCCGAGAACAAAGCCTCCGGTTGCCCTGTCCCAAAAATGGATCCGAGCCGTGAATGAATAAGGCCTCAGTTAGGATAGCAGATTGAGTTACCCTCCCTTTTTCACCTCCAACGGGAGCAGGTCATGGGTTGGTTTTTTTTTTCCAGGAGATGCCCTTTGTATCCATCTGCTAAAGGGAAGGGCTGTCACTTTAGTATTTACAAATGAGTTTGTACCTTTTATGTAGGCTGTCACAATAGCGAGAATAAAGGCTATTCTTTTGTGAAGTCTGCTGCTTTTCACAGCCAGTGTATTAAAACAAGGAAAGATTAAATGTAGAACTGTGTTGAATCCGAAATTGTGTGGAGTGAGTGTTGCCAGTATAAGTGCAGCTATCAAATAACGAAAAAAAGTTTCGTTAGGTTCCTAGGTTAGAGAGTGGGGAATAAAATGTTTGTGTCCTCAGATTATTTTTCAAACTGTTGTTAAAGCATTCACATGGACACTTGGGTTCTTGGAATCCACTTTCATTTTTTACTTAAAATAGTTTCATAGAAATGCCCATGTGCTTTTTTTAATGGACGAATTTATAAAACTTTACCCCTCAATTCCAATGTAGTGGAGGGGTATGGCTCTGGAGGCAGGCAAGCCTAGGTCCCACTCTTTACATCGCTCCTTAGTAGCTATGTGACATTGGCCTTGTAACTCAGTGTGGTAGATGGAACCAGGGAAATATGTGCAAGGTATAGCAGTGGCTCAGGAAGGGATTAACTCTGGAAGACATGATGTCTTACGGTGGTTTTGAAGGACAAATAGAAGTCTCCTTGAAGGGATGGAAAGGAATTCCAAGTAAAAGGAGTATATCGTTTGCAAAGGCATTGGTGACAAGAGTGTAGCATGTTTGGATGAGAGGTTGTTAGATGTAGTTCCTATTGATAGAACATAATAGAAGGTGGGGAACAATAGGAGATGAATAACAAGGGCCAGACATGAGAATGTCACTTTGGAAGGAAGGGAGAGGACTAGAGTTGGTTTAGAGGCTTTTCACATCAGAGGATGAACTGTGGTGCCGAGTAAGAATGGATTTAGGGGCTACTAAGAGGCAGAGGAGACAGGACTTGGAAAAAGAGCTTTTGGGGTTTTGATGTTAAATTTGATTGTAACCAGGAGAGGGGACTTGGTGATTAAAAAGTCTTGAAAAAATTGTCTGCTCTTTGTTTCCCGTCAAGATTCATTTCAGACAGGTTAGTCTGAAATGGCGTTGCCTTTTCTCGGCCATTTTCTAATTTCTTAGTGTGGTGGGATGGTAGGTGGGAAGAGGAGCATTCTCAAGAGAAGAAGAGTCCTGTGAATGCCCTCAGCTTTGGATGAAGTATCTGAACACTAATTCACAACACCCTTGTGTGGCTGTATGACTGTGCCCTACTTTGCCTGCATGTATAGTTAGAGGACTGTGACTCCTGTTCTGGCCAGAGGGCCGGGAATGCTGACTCAGTGCCTGCCTAGAAGTGTTTTTAAAGAACACAGTTTTGTTCACTTAATACTGTCAGTCTCTCACAAGGTATTTCAACCTCAGAATCTTCCATCTGTACAATAATTCATATTTGTTAAGCCCTCTAAAGCCATTAGTCTAGTGTAGGCAGCAGACACTAGTGAAGACACTCAGTTTCAGAGGCAGAAAACCTGGAAGAGTTCCCGCTCTACTCTTTAGTGACAGAGGCTTTGGGTGGAAGGTCTAAACCTTTCTTATGATACGTAATAGTCATCTTTTCAGCGATTCTTGTCACCTGTGCAACCTTTGTACCTGAGAAGATGTGAAAATCCTTAACAGATGTTACTAATAGGTTAAACGTGCAATTCTCCTGCCCTTCCCCAATATTGTTTATTACACTGTTTTACCCTTAATTCATAGAAAATACACTATTGAGCAATTCCAAATTACTTGGCTCCAGAATAACAAGGTTTTGTGACTTACACTCAAATGAAAAGTGGTTGCTCGTGTGTTTTACAAGTCATGTTCTGTTGTGACATTCTTCGATCTTGAGTCTTAACTGTTAATGCTAATGGTTAAAAGCACAGTTTGGGACTCAAACTCACTTTAGCATTGCGGTTTGGGACAAATTATTTAGTCTTCTAAGACTGAGTTGTAAAATAAAGATAACTCTCTGTGGTGTGAGGTGAGCTGGGGGGATGCCTATAGGTCCTTGCATTGTGCTCTGTGCAGTGGAAGTTACGCAGTACATGGTGCTTATGTTTGGTACATGGTTCAGCTTCTCTGCTGAACAGAGGAAAGGGTCTAGTTGGAGTCCATTTTTAGAGAAAGGGGTCTGTATTAATTTGCTTTTGAAAGTAACCCCTGCTTTAATTCATTCGCTTCTACTCTAGATTCAGTTTAAAGAGAAAGTGCTGTGGACCGCTATCACCCTCTTTATCTTCTTAGTGTGCTGCCAGGTAAGCTAAGGTTTGTATTTCGTATTGGGGAGGGGGATAAAAGTAGCAGGAAACAGGTGTACTGACTGTTTTGCTCTTTGCCTGTTCCCAGATTCCCTTGTTTGGGATCATGTCTTCAGATTCAGCTGACCCTTTCTATTGGATGAGAGTGATTCTAGCTTCTAACAGAGGTAGGACTCTGGCTCTCTGTGTCTTTTCTCTGTAGAGTGTGGGCTTACCTAGCTTCACTTAGTTAAATTATAGGCTTTGGCTTTATATGGAACTTAGAGAGTGACTTGGAAAATAGAGTGAAGAATGTTAGTGTGCTGTGTTGAGTAGCCTTATTAAATGCTGAGTTCAGCACCAAGGCATACCATCATATTTGGAATCGTATTTGAATGCAGTACAAAACTTGTATTGACAAGATAAGTCTATGCTATAGAGAGAATAAAAAACATGGAAAAACAACTAGAATACTTTTTGAATACCTGAAATGATGACATTTCCATTGATAACATTCTTCAGAATATGTAATTTGTTTTTCAGCTGTATCTTTTTCATATCTATAGGTTACATATATTGTCAAAAAATATGTAACAGTGTTTTGTATCCTTTAATCAGTTACCTATGGGACTGGGGAGGATTCTGAATGTGTATGTTGATACTGCATTTGATTAACTCATTTTAAAAACATGGTTGAATTAAATTCCAAATCAGTTGGAAGTATAGCTTATTTTAACATAATGGGAAGTAGAGGCTTATTCACAACTAGATACAATTGTACAGGCTCCCTTTCTAGACTCTGGGAATTATTTGAATGTTATCCTTTTTTTATTAACTGATGAAGAGACAAACGTTTCTTATCTCTAAAACCAGAATGAATCTGTTTATGGTGAATTTAAATGCAGCAATCTGTTTAGACACCATGTGACTTCCTAAACAGAATAAGATGTTGCCTCGCAGGCTGAATGGAATGAATTGAATTATACACTAATCGTTGATATTTTGGGGTTCTCTAAATTAAATGCAGCTAGGAAACTGAAACACATTAGTTTCATATAAGGGGTACTCAGTCAAATTTTGCTCATTCATTTTTAAAATAATGTACTATGTTTCCAAGCTAATATTGACTGTTTTGCTTCTCTGTTTCCTCAAGGCACATTGATGGAGCTGGGGATCTCTCCCATTGTCACGTCTGGCCTTATAATGCAACTCTTGGCTGGCGCCAAGATAATTGAAGTTGGTGACACCCCAAAAGACCGAGCTCTCTTCAACGGGGCCCAAAAGTGTAAGAAAGATTGTGAATAATCTGATGTCTGTAGTTGGAGAATTTGTATTTGCTATAATGGCAACAAACAGGTTTTCTTTTTTTTTTTTTTGAGAGGGGGCAGATGGAGTCTAACTCCGTTGCTCAGGCTGGAGTGCAGTGATGCAGTCTTGGCTCACTGCAACCTCCACCTCCCATGTTCAAGCAATTCTCCTGCCTCAGCTTCCCGAGTAACTGGGATTACAGGTGCATGCCACTACACCTGGCTAATTTTTGTGTTTTTAGTAAAGATGGGGT